GGCTCGGTGTGGGTCGCTGACCTGTGGGCCAGTGGCGGACACGAGCGGACGAGAGAGGCCGAGGAGCGCGTCCGTCTGTGTCTGTTCAGACCCATTTGTGACCCAACTTTGGTCTGGATTTGGGGTTGGGGTGGACTGAAACGGACACCAGCGGACAGCTTTGTCCGTTTGGGTATTACCGCTGGGTCGTATTTACCTCAAACGGACAAAAAGCGGACCGGATGGGTCATGGATGGGTCGTGCGGTGGAGTTGGCTTTACCGCTAGGTCGTATTTTACCTCAAACGGACAAAAGCGGACCGGATGGGTCACGGATGGGTCGTGCGGTGGAGTTGGCCTAAGTTACTTGGCCAGTAATTTGAGCAGAACTACCAGCGCACTATATCAGTGATCACTGAACAGACAAATATTTAAAGGGGAAAAGATGTTCACTTAAAATAGTATGTAGACCAAGCATTGGTGCAAATAAGTGCGTCTTTCTGAAATGCTCCACCTCGTAAAGTAGCAGGAACTAGATATAAAGTACCACGAACTAGATACGGTGTTAGCAACTGATATAAAAAATGTGCGCTTAATCCGAACAAACTCTACTATATCAGAGAATGAACCGTCACATTTGCTTGCAAGTTATGTTGAAATTAGTACCATTTTTCTGTGGTCCTAGATGAAAAAATTCATCTGATTTACACTGCAGACTAATGATAATTTTATTTTGCACTACTGACTTGACTGTAAGCCTGATCGCAAAGGGGAAGAAAATATACCATGGACCAAAAATTACTCAGCACACACTGGCAAATCTAATGACAAAACGATTCGTAGTAATCGTCACGTAACACTGAGTAAACCTCGTCCCCAGAAGCAATCCTGCCACTCTTGTGCAAGAGTAAGTGCTGACAAAATTCCGGCAACGAATTCTTTGGCTTCTTGGTCGGCGCTCTGAATCGATAGCTTCAGGTGTCCATTTTCGGTCAAATATCAACTAGAGCAACAAATTTAAACGGGTAGCAGTACAACAATTGAAGCCATCATTATTATGCAACTAAGTAAAAGCCGAGGAAACATATCAACGGAATGAGTTAACCTTACTCCTCCGGATGCAGTCCCATACTCCCATGATACAATGGGACATTTTTTTTTAACTAACCAGGCAACAAGCCAACAAGAAGAGAAGCACTGGTGAAGAGGAAGCAAGCAAGAGAAGATTTTACCGTCAACTTTGGGTGTGGATCCAGCGCAGCCCATGGCGGCCGCCGATGATCAGGCGATCGGACGAGCGAGCGAATCCTCGAGGCGGAGCCGGATCTCGCCGCGGGAGCAAGCGGAGGCTCCTCCCCTGGGACTGGGAAAGGAGAGCACGGTGGATTGCAGCGGAAGCGAGACGCCGAGGATCAGCGGCAGAGCGACGAGACTCCAGGCGACAAGTCAGGGAGAAAAACAAAGAAAAAAAGAGGAGAGCCGAGCAGAGAGAGAGAGGTGTCCCGCCACGTGGCCTCCCCCAACAGCCCACGTGGCCGTTCGGCCCGCGTCCACTCGCCCGCCGCCAGGTGGGCAGCGCCAGCGCCCGACACCCCCTCGAGCCAGACCCACCCGCGCCCACGGCCGCTGCCACCCGGGCCCACCTCCCGGGCACAGAGCACGCCGCACCTCCCCCCTTCCCGTCCCTTCCATCCATCGCCACGCCTCGTGTCCCCTCCGCCATTCCCCCGCCGCATCTGGAGCGACCTCCCACCGAATAAACCCCCAAAACCTAGCCGCCGTCGGCGCCGCCGCAGCCATGAACGCCTTCCGGTTCCTGGGGGACATGACCCACCTCTTCTCGGTCATCGTCCTCCTCCTCAAGATCTACGCCAACAAGTCATGCTCAGGTAAGCCGCGCGTCGCTAGGGTTTCGGCCGGCGCCTCGCCTCGCCTTGCCCGTCGCTCACGGATCTGCGCCGCGCCGCAGGGGTGTCGAGGAAGACGCAGGAGCTGTACCTGGCGGTGTTCGTGGCGCGCTACCTCGACCTCTTCACCGACTACATCTCGCTCTACAACTCCGTCATGAAGATCGTCTTCATCACCACCTCCGCCGCCATCGTCTGGTACATGCGCCGCCACCCGCAGGTGCGCCGCACCTACGACCGGGACCAGGACACCTTCCGCCACCTCTTCCTCGTCGCCGCCGCCTTCGCGCTCGCCCTCATCTTCAACGAGCGCTTCACCCTCCGCGAGGTCATGTCGCCTCATTGACCCCTGCCTTGCGTTCTCTTCCTTGCCTTTCCGAATTGATGACGTTGCGAGATCTGCTAAATCTGCAAGCTATAAGAAATTTGTGTTTTGCTGCGGTAGCTACTAGGTTCTCCAGGCTCACGCTTCGTCTGTGAGAAACTGGCTGCTAGTCATGCGTGACACTGCCGTTTAACAGATCCAGCCGAGTGTGACCAGTGCGGCCGCATCGCTAAACCCATTTTGCAGTTTGATCTGCCAAATTCTAGAATAATCATGTCAATTTGCGTTTAAATATACTTAACAGAGTGTTCTGTTGCACTAGGAAAATATATGCATTACTTGGCAGTGGTTATTGTTTTGGCAAAATTATGTTTAGCCCATTCGTTTGTGTGTTTGCTTATGTGCTACAGCTTATCTTATTTGTATGTGACCACCTTTTCTGAGAAACATGTCACCTTTCTTCTTGTGAGTAATTAGTAGTACAGTAGTGAAATGTGACCAAACTGTTTTAGTAATTCATTATTGTGGTGCCTGAATTTATCATAATAATACTATCATAATACAGATATGCTGGGCATTTTCGATTTACCTGGAGGCAGTGGCGATTCTACCTCAGTTAGTCCTACTCCAGAGAAGCAGAAATGTCGATAACTTGACTGGACAATATGTTCTCTTTCTCGGGTATGATTTTACACCAAATGGGCTTATCTTGTACTAATGAAACCAGTTTTCATTTCATGATTCATATAACATTTGCTGTATCCTACTCCATCCGTTCCTAAATATAAGACATTTTAGAGATTCCAATATAGACTACATATGGAGCAAAATCAGTGAATCTGCACTCTAAAATATGTCTATATACATATGTATGTAGTCCGTATTGAAATGAAATCTCTAAAAGGACTTATATTTAAAAACGGAGGGAGTATATGTTTGTAAAGATATTCTCTATACAAGGTCTAAAACCATCTAGTGTTATATTGTTGACACTTCACAAGGCAAAATTAGTACTGTAGCTTTTATTTAGCTGTTTGAATGGTTAGTCAGATTATGTGCAATCAAGTGTTAAATTGTTCTTTGAATATTACCCTGAATGTTTACAGGATATTTAATTTTAATTGTTCAGGGCATAGGAGTTAAATTTAAATTAGAGCACACCTTAATTCGTGCATCCGTGCTTAGTTAGTTTCTTGGGGTGCATTTGGTTAGACCTAGGTCAATCTTGAACTGAAATTTCCAAGTTTAATTAGTTGTAGCCATGTTGGTTACATTACGCTTAGCATGAACTCGCTTCGTTCGAAAATATAAGGTTCTTTTTCTGCAAAGTCAAGCTTCTATTTGTTTGACCAAGTTTATAGAGAAAAATATCAATATCTACATAACCAAATCATTATCATTAAGATTCATCATGAAATATATTTTCATATTTTATTCATTTGGTAGCTCTTGTATTTCTTTACGGAGGGAGTATTATAGAGATGTATATATTTTAATATAAAGTTAGTCAAAAGTAGAGAAGTTTAAATTTTGGAAAAATTAATACACCTTGTATTTTGGAGCGGAGGGAGTACATAGTTTATTGTAGCTAGACTTGAATTAGACCTGTGACTTGTGTAGAACTGATTTTCAATCTTGAAATAACTGATTGACTCCAAGCATCTACATGAAAATTGTGTCCCTGCATCTTCAGTTGTTTTTTCTGTTGCTACTGAAGCAATGCTTGTTTTGCAGGGCCTACCGTGCATTCTACATTCTAAACTGGATTTACCGTTATTTCACGGAGGGTCACCAAAGCAGATGGATCCGTGAGTCCATATCTTTGTTTTTTTCGCTCATGTTTCATGCTCCACGTTTTATCCCAATTACCATTTCCTGATGCCCCCGTTTCTTTCAGCCTGGATTGCTGGTTTGGTCCAAACTGGTCTATACGCAGATTTCTTCTACTACTATTTCTTGAGGTAAACTGCATAGTGTTCTTTCATGACACACATTTCTCATGCACACGCTCCTCGGCTTGTGACAAATTTTGTGGTGGCCATTGCAGTTGGAAGAACAACGTGAAGCTCGAGCTGCCTGCCTGAGCATGCTTTGTCCATGCGACAAAAAGCACACATTGCATTGCATGGGCCAGAAGTGTTATCGAAATTGAGTTGATGATATTGGCATGAAGAGAGAGACTCGGTGGTTCTGTAGTGGATTATCTTGGCAAAAAGCTATATTACGTTTGAGATGCTAACAGTACAATAGTAGACTAGTTCCATTTTGTACCTGGGATGGAGGATCAGCGAATCCAAATTCATTTGGCCTGTTGTTTGCCCGCTCTGTTTCACCTGCTGTAAACAACCAAACGACGTGATCTCCAGTGTTCTTGCCCTGCTTTGTGTGAACTGTTGTGACTTTGAACTATATGCGTTTTTGTTCGTCGCCGCGCTGTGCCAGAAAGCTTTGTGCTTGGCCGAGCATTACCGTCGTAATTATAAGTACCAAGTTTTTACAATGGTCGGGAATGTTTTGTTTTTCCTTTTCTGTTGGGTTGACGATTTGTGCAGGCTAAGAGCATCTACAGCTGGACTTGCAAATCCAGCCCCTCAAATGTCCTTGCAAATTCAGCCCCTCAAATGTCCGCGGACGTGCCCGGGCGTGTCACCGGGCACCCCTCAAATATTGCCTTGCACGCCCACATACCGTAAATTTCAATCCTTAAATCTAAATCCATGCATGTCAGTCCACATATTGCCTTGCACGTCCACATACCGTAAATTCCAATCCTTAAATCCATGCATGTTAGTCTACATACCGTAAATTTCAATCCTCAAATCCATGCATGTCAATCATATGGAACAAAATCCATGCATGTCGATTATACGGTACAAACTGTCCGAATGCCAAAGTTCAAAACAATGTAAAGCAAATCATAGTTCAACAAATCGGACATGGCAAAGTGAAATCAATGTCCTAGCGTGATGGATGGTCTAGGATCACTGGTTGGGCGCCTGCTTTAGGCGGAATATGTCCTGCTCTGCCTGCATCCGGACAGCCTCCTCCGCCTGCATCCGCGCTGCCTCCTTCGTCTCCATCCGGGCCGCAACCACCCTCGCCGCCTCGTACTTTCTACGGTCGTTAATCTCCATCTTCTTGTCCGCAAGCCACTTGTTCGCATGCTCATCCAAGAGGGTCTCATCTGCCAACATGACCCTCGCATGCGAGTTGCAACCTCTCCTTTTCAAGCTCTATGTCGTCAAATGACTTGGCCTTCTTGAGCTCCCATTTGATCACACTTGTTTTTTCTCCAACTCGATCTTCTCGCTCTCAATTTCCAGCTTCTTCTCCGCCCTCTCTCGGTCCCACTCCATCCTTTTCTTTTACATATCCAACATGAGCTTGTACCTCTCCACCTTGTTCTCCCTCACCGAACAAATGCTTGTCCATGTGGACGACATTTTGGTAGCCGCGACATCACGGGCGGCACGTGCCTTCTCCCACTTGTTTCCCATGACTTGGCGGTTATCCTTTGGCACGGTGGCTTTTCCATTCGTCATGACAACATCGTCCTCTTCATCGTCCAACCCAATTGATTGATTCGAGCTTGATCCATCATTCCTCTTCCTGCCGGACTTGAGGTCGGCCACAAGTTGGTTCCACTTTGGCTGGCCATTCAATATGACCCTGCAATGGCTAAAAGCAAATGGCTTCTTCTCCACCTCGTGATACAAAGTGGCCGATACCGTCGTCTAGCAAACAACATATATATGAGCACGAGAATGCAAACGCAAGAAGCATATGCAATGGACGACAAGATGAGGCAATCGAGCTTACGTGAGTTGCGACTCCCATCCCACTTTGAAGGCATTTGGTCACTTATGATCAGTAGCCGACGTACTTGTTCACTTCGCCTTGAATGATCCTCCAACGATGTTGGAGAGATGCCACATTGCGGGTAGTCACGATAGGATGCGCCTTCACATACTCCTTTTGCTTGTGATACTCCTTCCAAATCTTCATCCAATAGGTGTTCCCCTTTTGCTCGGTGCCGCATATTGGATCCATCGTTGTGGCCAACCAAACTTTGTCGAACAATATGTCCTCAAATCTTGAGAATGCCGGACCTCTTGCCTTCGGCGTCTTGGTCTTCTTCTACTTGCTCGGATTGGGATCGGATGTTGTCCCAACTTTAAATGCGGTAGTGGCCTCCAATTCATACTCCATTTCGGTCGGATCTTCATTGTCATTGATCATGTTCGATAAGAACGCCTCCTACATAATTATGGTTTGCAAGCACTCATCATGAGCACAATGAACTAGTGCTCTATGCTAAAATCTGATCGGACAAGAGCAAAGATAACGCACCGACTCTTGTTCGGTTATTCCGTCGAACATGTCGAGGGCAGCCTGAGCACTACCGGAGCGCGTGTTGATCCGCGCCCGAACAAGCTGCGGCGAGTCACACACGTCAACCGCCGGCATCTGTGTGGGTGCAAAGCTCTCCAAAATGGCCCAGTCGACGGTCGAATCATCCTCTATCCCAATGGGTCGGACGGCGTAATCCGCGTAGGCGCTCGGAGGGAAGGGGTGCGCGGACCCGGGCGCGGCGGAGGAGACAGCTGCCCCACCGCGTCCGTGTTGGAAATATGCCCTAGAGGCAATAATAAAATGGTTATTATTGTATTTCCTTTTTCATGATAATTGTCTATTATTCATGCTATAATTGTATTGAAAAGAAACTCAGATACATGTGTGGATACATAGACCACAACATGTCCCTAGTGAGCCTCTAGTTGACTAGCTCGTTGATCAACAGATGGTCATGGTTTCCTGACCATGGACATTGGATGTCATTGATAACGGGATCACATCATTAGGAGAATGATGTGATGGACAAGACCCAATCCTAAGCCTAGCACAAGATCGTGTAGTTCGTATGCTAAAGCTTTTCTAGATGTCAAGTATCTTTTCCTTAGACCATGAGATTGTGCAACTCCCGGATACCGTAGGAATGCTTTGGATGTACCAAACGTCACAACGTAACTGGGTGGCTATAAAGGTGCACTACGGGTATCTCCGAAAGTGTCTGTTGGGTTGGCACGAATTGAGACTTGGATTTGTCACTCCGTGTGACGGAGAGGTATCTCTGGGCCCACTCGGTAGGACATCATCATAATGTGCACAATGTGATCAAGGAGTTGATCACGGGATGATGTGTTACGGAACGAGTAAAGAGACTTGCCGGTAACGAGATTGAACAAGGTATCGGCATACCGACGATCGAATCTCGGGCAAGTACTATACCGGTAGACAAATGGAATTGTATACGGAATTGATTGAATCCTTGACATCGTGGTTCATCCGATGAGATCATCGTGGAACATGCTGGAGCCAACATGGGTATCCAGATCCCGCTGTTGGTTATTGGCCGGAGAGTTGTCTCGGTCATGTCTGCATGGTTCCCGAACCCGTAGGGTCTACACACTTAAGGTTCGATGACGCTAGGGTTATAGGGAAGGTATGTACGCGGTTACCGAATGTTGTTCAGAGTCTCGGATGAGATCCCTGACGTCACGAGGAGTCCCGAAATGGTCCGGAGGTGAAGATTGATATATTGGACGAAGGGTTTTGGAGTCTGGAAGTGTTCCGGAGGTACCGGGTGATGACCAGCATGACCGAAAGGTGTTTCGGGAGCCCCGGCAAGTGTTGGGGGGGCTTCATGGGCCAAGGGGAGGGGGCAAACCAGCCCACTAAGGGGTTGTGCACCCCCCTCACCTATTCCCACGTGACCAGGGGGTTTCGGGCGCCCCATCTAGGGTTCCCACCTCTTGGCTTGGGGGCCAAGTCACCCAAAGGGGAGATCCCATCTGCCCTGGCCGCCGCCCCCCCCAGGGGAAACCCTAGGGCGCCTCCCCCTCCCCCTTCCCCCCTATATATAGTGGAGGTTTTGGGGCTGCCCAATACATGAGTCTCTCTCTCCCAAGGCGCAGCCCTACCTCTCTCCCTCCTCGTCTCTCGTAGTGCTTGGCGAAGCCCTGCTGGAGTACTGCGCTCCTCCACCACCACCACGCCGTCGTGCTGTTGCTGGACGGAGTCTTTCCCAACCTCTCCCTCTCCCCTTGCTGGATCAAGGCACGAGAGACGTCATCGGGTTGCACGTGTGTTGAACGCGGAGGCGCCGTTGTTCGGCGCTTAGATCGGAATCAACCGCGATCTGAATCGCTACGAGTACGACTCCTTCATCCGCGTTCTTGTAACGCTTCCGCTTAGCGATCTACAAGGGTACGTAGATGCACTCCCCTTCCCCTCGTTGCTAGATTACTCCATAGATTGATCTTGGTGATGCGTAATTTTTTTTGAATTTCTGCTACGTTCCCAACAGTCCGAACCTCCCTGCGCCGCCGCTGCCGCCTCCCTCTCTCGCTTCCGACATCGCCGCAACTTGCGGACGACATTCTCTGCCTTGCAAGTCGCAACCGACGAATTGACGCCACCGGACTACGCCTTCGTCGTGGCGGTGTAGGTCGAGCTGGACAACATCTCCTGCGGTGGATCGGGACCGGAGGTGAGGATTGGGACCAAGGGTGGAGGAAGGCGAGGGTCCGGGCATGAGAATGGTTGAAGGACGATGGGAGGAGGAAGGGTTTTGATGGATTTGTTGCAATTTGGGGCGGGGTCGGGCTTTCAGTTCCGACGTGGCGGGCATGCCCGGACGCCCCCATATCCACCTCATATTTGGACTTGATATAGAGGGTGCCGGTCAGCCCGATCGTATGAGGCCCTTTTAAGGAGCCCATTTGGATAAAAAAATCATGATCATACAGTGACCGGACGGCTCGCCCGGGCGTATGAAACGGCTGTAGAGCTGTGATGCATCATGTTGTGGAAGCCATTTGATCCGCATTGGTTCGTGATGCAAAATTGGGCGATCAGGCGTTGTACCGAGGACGAAATTGACCGGTACCGGACGGTACGACCGACCGGTACCTGAAGCTGGATCCGGACGACGGCGAGGTTTCTGGTCGGGCAACTATTTAGTGCGGGCAGCTCCAGTGCCTGCCCGTACATCATATCGGTGATGCATATGCAAATTGAATAA